CCAATTGTTGTCTGTGGTTGACGCTGAAGAATTGGATAATATTGTGAAAAAGAAGGTTGAATGTGATAGAGGATTTATTTATGATGAGACTGAAGAAATTCTTAGGAGTTTGGTGCTAGATTTATGTGCGCAGTATACTACAGGAGCTTCGAAAGAAATGGTTGAACAGGTGAGATTTTTTTCCTTTTTTTTAAATTTTTAACTATCAGCCTACACCTGCTTCGTATAGGTTTTTAATTACCTCGCTAACGACGAATGAAACCATTCGTTATTGCCTGATCCTCTCCTTTCCTATTTTTAATTTAATGGTCGACAAACGAGCCGACGTATTAACTAATAGTAAGCAATCAGCGCCGCTCATGGACTCATGAGGGAGGGATTGTGGGAGGGGAAGTCACTCACACGGCGAAACACAACGTTGTGATTGTCTCACGCCGATTTTCTGTGAGACTGTGATCTCACTCCGGTCGAGCCGACCAATTCGTACCGTAGCATAGCTCTCCCACACTTTTTAGAGATTTTCTTTTATTAAAACCTTCTGTTGACAATAACAAACATAAGAAAAAAAAAATTGCGAAACTGGTTCAGTCGTTATTAAAATCTGCTCTAAGCAGCACATTTATTTATTAATCTTTGTATTACAGATGGATAAACACTGTAGACATGAATAAAAAAATTCTTGACTTCAGACGAGATAATGTCTAAATTGTTTACTTACAGGTCACAGCAGTATTATTCTTAATACTAAAGTTGGTGCATTCGATGTCAAGCTTCAAGCTAGACAAGAAGCTGCAACAGACAGATAATGAAGAGGCTGAAGGTGGAAGCAGGATGAACATACGGTGGATCCTGTTCAAACTGCGAAGAGCAATCAACGTCGAAGTGGCTCGAGCACCTACTAATATGAATATTGTAAGTAAATTTACTGACTGACTGCACGGTTGGAGCGGTGGCTCGGCAATTAGCTGCCGTGCAATCGTGATCCACAAATTGTTGTCCGGGTCTGGGTGGCTTGTGTATGTGAAATTGTATGTTTGTAACCGCACCACCTTTAATTTACAAGTTTTGTTTGAATACGTAAGTTACTTCTAACCTATGTCGTTAGAATGACAATGTTAGCTCCCTTGAGTAGTAGCTACTATATTTTTAAACTTAAGTTCGATATTTATTGATGCATGGACTTTCCTGCTCATTCTTTTCGATTCGAGCCTGAATTCTATAACAACCACCTAGCTTCACTGAAAACAAACTGACCGACTATTTTTTTTTTACCTTTTAAGTACTTACCTACGTTTTAAAAGTACCCTTACTATATGATTTAATTGCAATAAATGTTTTTTAAAGAAGTTAACAATACCAACAATCTACCTACATTTCAAAAGAGACTTTTCCTTAGCTTTATTTATTAACTAGAGACCCACCCTGTTTCGCTCGGGTGCTATTTAATGAAAATTAAATACTTATATAAACATATCTGTCTATTAAAAAACCCCGCATCAAAATCTGTTATCTATTTTTAAAGATTGAAGCATACATAGGGATATAAGGACAAAGATAGCGACTTTGTTTTGTATTATATAGTGATTTGTTCTTTATATTTTTACAGAGAACATCAATATTTACAATGTGGACGCACGTGATCAGCTCTCTAGAAAGCGATGATGTCAATAAAATCATCGACGTGATTCTCCCGCCAATAGTACGGGAACTGTCAACTGGTGACGCGGCCACTCCGGCTACCATAGCCAAGCAACTGGCTGGTAGACTCGGAAAGAAATTACGACGAAAGATAGGAGAGATAGAGTATAGCAAACTCGTTGCTGAGGCACAGATGAAGCTGAATATCAAGAGGGCTGAGAGGAAAAAGGTTGGTTGTGATTTTGTTATTGGTCAATACGGTAGTTTCCAACTAGTTAAATTCAATACTTTTATCCAAATGTCAAAAACTATACTTTTCTATGAAATTTATATGAAACTCTGAGTTACGACGTTATATTATTTTTGCGTCAAATAGCATACTTATTTCTTAATAATTAGCTACAAAATATCCAAAACTTAGTGTATTGATAGATCGATGAATAAAAGTACCTATAGTTATATTTCAATATTTTATTGTATTGAAATCGAATTAATTTATTTTAGGAAACTACCCAATTGACTTTGGTCATTAGACTTTGCTCAAAATTGGCATAATTCGATACCTTAGCAAACCAGCTAATTCCACATGTTGTCAAAAAACAGATAACATCTAAAACGCTGTAGTTTGAAAATAAAATTTATAAAATAAAAAATAGGTTAATATCTTACAATTCTGCGGTATTTTAGATTTCTTTATAAGTAGTCCTAAAAAAATATTATAGAGTTTTAAGTGTCTCGTGAAATATTTGCTCCTAAGGAATTAGCTGATTTGCCAATTAAGGTTTTAGATATGCATGTCTTATTGAAGTGTACTACAGTGTTTCATAACAACATTAAACTAACTAATATTAATATATTTTTTCAGCTACTTCTCCAAGAGAAAGTTAACAACCCAGAGAAGGCAGCCAAGAGGAAACTTCAATTGAAAGAAAAGAAGAAACAATTTAAGAAAGTGAAAATGGAAATGTTGCAGGGCAAGAGGCCAAGGCCTAAGAAACGGAAAGCCGAAGATTTTGATATAGAAGACCAATTGCTAAATGATGACTAGGGTTAACATTTCCAATTTTTTTTAACTATACTTTAATGTACATCAACGTTTTATCTACATCTACCTAGTTATGTACATATAGATATTTTTCGTTAAGTTCTGGGAACCTCAAAGACACGACCGGTTTTCGAAGAGAAAGACACAAGAAAGATTGTTTAAAGCCTTGATTGTAATGAAGAGATAGACCAGGTAGTGTAGGAAACCACCATTAGCATCTATTTATAAAAGGACAAGGCGACGGATCCTCTGAATGTGTTGAATAACGCAAATAGTGTGAAAAGACGTTTATTTATTGCTTCCCGGTCCAAAACCCTGTCCCGCGGTGTGTTTCGCGCCTAAAAATACCAGTTTTGGAGCCCTTACAAATACTAATGTGTTTAAGAATTGTTACTGGCCTACCCTGTTGTGTTAATTGACTTTTTCTAAGTCATATATTTGTTTTAAGATGTCACTTTTGTAAATATAGTTCTAAGCAAGTGATTATATTATATTATATTTTATTACTGAAAACTTGTTTTTTTATTGATGATTTTAACGACTGTTAGCTTAGTTGTACAGGTTGCATAGTTCTTCTAATGGTCCTTAGTAGTGTCGATAGTAACAGCTAAATATACGGCTTACTGGAACTATTCGGGAAACTCTCTACTAGTTTCAAATCACGTCGGGACTCATATTACGAACAGCGTGGTTATAAAAATGATCGAGCTGTAAAATTTATACTGTGTAAGTAGACACTTTCTCCTTCCTTCGACAGCGAAAATGGCTTTTTGACAATACGATTTGGTAGCATAAGTATGCTTATAGAAAAATGTTAGGTACTTACAAATAAAACTCCATTATTATAAACAAAATAAATATATTGCTTTATGCATTCAAAGTATAAAAGAACAATTAACAAAAACATCGAACGAACGAACATCACAATGGGAACGATGTCATTATACAAAATACGTGCTTTTAAGCATAGGTAGGTAGTTGTAATATTTAATATCAGCAACTGCGTTGTTTTAGTTCATAAATTACTTAAATAATTTACTATAATCAAGTATGTAAGTTTATATTGAACTAAGAATATTGTAACCTAATGCAAATCATTAAAATATACAGATAGATATATCCACCGATTCTCGATCTACGAGATTATTATAGGGCTTAGGTATTAGAGATTAATTTTAATCCTACTAAAATACAAAATAAGGTACAAGTAATCATATATTCCATACCCTTCTTATTAAGTTCTTTAACTAATTAAATCTATATTTCACTTATATTAGGTAAACTTAAATTATATTAAACATAATAATTTGAACAAAAAATCTTACAAAGAATATGTGCGTGAAGATAATGCCACATAATGTTCAGTGTAAATACAATATTTATTATATCGGACTAACACTTTCGCATTCAATATCTTAATTATAATTAAAAGGGTTCCTCGGATTCCTTAATAAAATCAAAGCATACACAACTAATAATATTATTATTATTATAATAATACATTTATCAATAATACACACAATTAAATTACTCAATAATTTTGATACTCAAAGCACCATAACTCTTTAGGTAATAAGTACGCTAAATATTATTTTTAAAATAATATATAGCTTTAATATTATTATATTACTGTTCAATAATATCTGAAACTATTTTTGTTTAGCTTCGTGTGTCTACAACTACCAACAGTGAGATATTGAAATATTTATTTTAAATGTTAGGCCGGGAGCTGGTAACTCAATTATTTTATTATCTTGAATTTATTTAATGCACACAACTTTACTAACTATGAAAGCATCTAAAAGTTTCTTCGTAGAGCAAGTAGAGGGAATTCTTAAATTGTTATATATTTTTTTAGTTAGCATAAACATTGTATAATCATTTTAATCGATAGCAATATTAGGTAGGAAAGGGAATTACGTAAAAGTATAACAATAGAAAGGAGAAGTACAACAATAACATTTATAGCAATGGACGGCAGCAAGCTCGGCGATTATCTAAAGCTTATTCAAATTCAAAGCGTAACGTTGGAGTAAAGTAAGTCGTAGAAAGTCAAGAATTTAAAAAGGTCGCATAACGAGCACGTTTAGGTACTATTTTCTATAAAGCCTTGAAGTATAGAGCAAATAATCTCTCTGTGAATTGTTCTTTTTTTCTTAATTCTTATTATTAAGGTACTAAGTATTTATAAAATTAATATCCAATGAGATCTTCCCTACACGGTTACACCTACTATTTCAAAACCTTAAAATTGGTAATTGACTAGTAATTTGTATGAAAGAAAATCTAGGGAAGATTTCAATCGATTAAGGTCTGATTAGATTAACACGAGCATAGCCGAGATGGGGTTGTACCTCATGATTTTGGACAGTAGGATCCAAAGGAGGGACGTGGTGGTGGCGAGGGCGACTCCTCCCCAGCCAAGTTCTAGGGACCAGGAAGTGGAGAACTCTCTAGCGGAGAGGAGAGAGAGTGCGGGTCCTCGAGGGCCGACTACGCCGTCACCCGTACCGTCTGCGTGCGAGCTGCCGCGGGCTGATACACGTTGAACTCGCTTGAAGTGGATGATCATTAGAGTGAACATGGCGAACAAACCTGAGAATAAGATTTTAAAATGAATCTTAGTTAAAGTTCCGCTGGAAGCCGCGGCTGCCGCGTAATAGTTTATATTCTAAAATGGAGTTGTTACTATGTGTGAACGTACCGGCTAATAAATACATGACGCCGGTTATAAGTACCGCGCTGATCTGATGCTTGCAGATACCAAACGCGCCGACCAATGCCGCGCTGCCCAACACGATGAGGCAGACTAGGGCGCATGATATGGATAGATTCTGCATACCTGGAATTAAAATTATGTATTTAGATTTATATTTTCTTTTTCCATGAAATTTACCCGATAATAGAAAAGTGACATGCGTCGGACCATGGCATTCCCAACTAAAAATATTGGTTGTTAAGTAGATAGATAAGTAAGTCGTTATTTATAAATCTCGTCGACTGTTGAGACTTCCCTGGCTACACTTGAAATATTAATTATTGTTTAAAGGGTTTGCTCTATCATAGGGTCTGTCTCAGAGTTTACAGACTCTGACTTATTAATAACTTAATAGGGGTCTAAATATAGTCACCCAAGTTAAATAGATTTCATTTATATTTGCTCTGAAATTTAATTAATTGTCTTAAGTTGATTTTGTATTCGAATAGCTGTTTATCGTGCCACGTTTAAGCTCGGAGGCAAATGTTCGGCTCTTTAAACATGTAAAGGGTTGGAGCGATTAACGATGGTGCGGTAAATATATTTCCACTTCCTAGCCAAAAATATCTTAGGTTCATAAATTTTTAGTTTGAATAAGTATAGGCAAGAAGTTAGACTTTACCGCGAAATATTTCTGGGTTGTGAATGAGTTAATATTCAAAGAGATTGTGGCCGATAATAATTTTAGATAGGTATTGAAGTTTTCGGTCACTGATTTGGAGAACTTATGTACTATCTATATGTAATCCAAGAAGCTATATTTTCGTTTTGTATAAATAAAATTTGAGGGATAGCTTAAAGTACCTAATTGTGTTATAAAACGAAACATTCGGACGAGGGTTTCGTTTTCGAAATGTTACAGAGGGCTACCTAGATACTTGCTAAACTTTGCAATCAGGAAAATTAAAAAAGTTTTCAAATGCGGCTCGAGTTGTGCGAATGAAAAAATGTCTAGTAATAATGTCTAGTCTAATGAAAAAATCTTTTTTCCTGCCTAGATATTTTTTACCATTTTATTTGCCAACCTAGGTACCTAATCACAAATAACTAATGCTATTAAAACCATCTCTTGTACGTTTAGTCACCCAACGAGCAGTTTAAATCCCCTGATGATAAGCAACAAGCACCGCCCATGGACACCAGAATAGTTGCAAATGCGTTGTCGGCCTTTTGGGGATTAGGGCTGAGAACTAGGTCTCCGGTAACATCATTCACACGGCGAAAAGCGACATCACGGCCAGTCAAACGCGCTTCGGTGTTTGTGACAAACTATGGCTGTTCCACACTTACAGAGCAGGTTTTCAAAAAAAAAATATTCCTATTTAAAAGTCCAAAGATATCAGTCAAATTAAGCTTTAATGTCTACAAAAGTAAATGGCACCGCGGTAGGCGTATACCAATGATATTTTGATTAACAAATTGCCCAAGTATTTGCCGTAAATCTTACTTTGACGCACTCGGCTACTTTACTTGAAAAACAAGTTGATAAATGAATTTGGCCGAAAGCAAATGGTTCTTCAAGGTCTTATTCAGCGAAGGATGTAAAGGGCGTTGTTTATGCACACCTTGACTTATCGCCGCTGAATATTTATCATCTTGTTTTCATAATGAACTTAGCTTTTATTATCGTGAAAGGATAATTATGATTGTTTTATGTTGCGTTAACAGCTCATTTTAAGTGCTAAATTCTAGTTGTTTTTCTTCTTTTTTAAATCCTGATGGTTAAAAAGGCTATGTAGTACCTATTTTATAATATAGGCAAAAAATATTTTAAAATTTTCAATGTTAGGTATTTTAAAAGCCTTGGCTCCTCGCCTAATTGAATAGGTCGAGCTTTAGGTATTCCTATTTAAAAAAAGAATGACATAGATATTTATATTATTTAGTGTAGGGCAAAGTTTCTGGAAAAAAATATTATAGGTAAGTACTTACGATGTTGCCAATCAGCTCTGGGCTCCTCATCGTCACTGTTTGCTAAATAATTTGTGCATACTGGCTGCGAGGGGAAGCCGACTCTCGACAATATCGACACCTCTTCCTCTGGAAAGCATTCATTCATCGTTAGAGTTGATAACATTTTATAAATAAGATGTTCGTATAAGTAATTTGGAAGCCTACTGCGAATCCTCATTAGGTATTACCAACCATTAGGTCGGGAAACGAGCTGACGGATTAGGTACCTGATGGCAAGTAATCGGCGACGCCCATTGACACTTGTAATAGTTCCAAAGGAGTTACTACAAGTGCATTGCCGGCCCCTTGTAGGTAGGTATTTAGGGGTTTGCAGATTGAGCATGGGGAAGGGGAGGAGAAAGGATTGGGCCTCCAGTAACCTCACTAACACGGCCAAATAAAACGTAAGTAAGGTGTAACGTCGGTCGAGCCGGCCGGACTTACCCACACTAAAATTTCTGAAGATTCATAAAGGCACGCACTCACACAGGTATTCATTACCTTTCATTATAATAGGTCTATTAAGAGAAGCGACGTGACGTCATGCACGAAGGTGTAAGGAGGTTTGAGGGTTGTATGTACAGATACAATGTCATTCGTCCCATAGAACAACAGGAAAGAAATCCAAAACCGTTTGCTTAGTACTTACGTCGACTTTACGACCACTTGTGGAGAAAAAGGAAAATTCCGTTCACGTGAATTTTTCATACGAAACACGCAAAATATTTAGAGAAATATAAATACCTTCAAGAGACACACACATCGTCCAGATGCCTCCATTCATAGGCACTAGGAAGGTCCCCCCGCCCTTTCGATTACTTGTGTCTTCAATCTGTAAAGAGAAAATATTTCTTGACTATGTTTATATAGAAGTAAATATGTAGGTATACAAAGGCACGAGCCTGAACAAGTTCAAGGTTAAAGGGAAAAGTTGGAGGAAAATATACGCGACGCCCATGTGCCAAATAGGCTTTTCTTGGTAGATTACTCAATACTAAAAATGACCCATTATTCCATTAGACCACTTAGTTTGACTAGACGTTTTCCCTATAAATTTTGTACTAAATTAACTCTTGGTGTAGAAGGTAAAGTTACTCTGTATGTAGGGTAGGTACTTCTAAGTAGTAATAGTTTCAGTAGCTTCCCAGTTCCTATTAAATTACACCATAACCTGGGCTTAAGCCGTGTGCCAGAGGTTGAGTTCAAGCTGGTTATACTGTAACCGTGTTCTCCTCAGTGGTCTTTCGCAATGATGACACTTGGGCATTCTTCGTCTTCCGCTGGATCCGAAACAGAACATTTCCATGCTTGCTATGCATGATTGGATTACTCTGTTGATGGTGTAGAGAACTAACTTGAACGGAATAAGTAGATAAATATCTAACTTCCTATAAGCGGGTTCGAAACTTGGTAAGTAGGTGAATTGACGTAACTGTTTCCGACTTTCTACGTACTGTCTTAGATTATTCAGACATCATTGACATGTTGTGAAAGAAATCATTATTTGGAAATTATGAATTTGGAATCACCAACCCGCCTTGGACGAAATTGGTAAATGCCCTAATTCTTCGTGCGCGTGTGAGAAGATGCCTTGACTCAGCAGTGGAGCCTATAAGTAGGCTGATGATGTAATGTGAATTAAAATTAAGTATTCTCACAGATTTGTATCTGATGTACCTAATAATATAACGTTAGGAGACCAATGAACGGATATCAGGAAAGTTATAAGCCTCGAAGCGAAGGATTAGCGGGCAATAACTACCAAAGTTGTGATTCATTTTCATAGAAGCAAATATGGAACATTTGGAGCGTGTGAAGTTGATAGGCTTCACTAATTTGTACAAAGTATTATAAATACAAATATTCTACAAGAAGATTATGTAGATAAGTAGATACGTCATTAAATTTATTTCGTATAGAAATAAGAAACTTCGCATTAGGTATTTTTATATACTTTGTTTTGTTATGATTGTTTAGAGATCAGCAACATAAGGTAAAGGAAAACATCTCGAGGAAACCTGGACTTATAATTTAGAATATTATAAGGTTGAAATTGCCAATCCGTCTTGAGTAGATACCTAAGCGTGGTGAAATGCTCAAACCTTCTCTGTGAGAAGTGGCCTTAGTTATAGGCCGATGATGTGAAATGAACATATATAAGTATATAAAGGATCTAATGTCTTCTATTAAATATTGAATTAGGTTGGTATTAAAATGGAAAAGAAAATATAATCATGTCGTATTTACTTGTTATCGATATCATAACCAGTTTTGACAATGTAGTTACCTATATAGAGTTAAGGAATGAATAAAGCAGCGACTTGGAATATAGTTAAAACTTTAACGTAGATTTTATATCAACATATTCTCGGCGCGCACAGCTGCGTCGCGTGCAAACTTTAGGTGCAGTTTCAAGGCAGTATTCACCTGATTACGGCATTGTTTTATTCGCCTTCACAGCCTTGAACTGACGCTAGTGCCAATATAATATCGAAGTACCGTGGCCAGTAGGTTAACCTATTCCTTCTGTGAAATTTCTTTATTAGATTTTCAACGTTTTGTCTTGATTGATTTTAAGGCGAAAATTCAATTGAAAAACACAAGAGTAAGTTTATTTGGTGGTCACTGTTCTAATGTTAGACTACTAACTATTTTGGGCAAGAACATATTTTTTTAGTTTTTTTTAATGTAATTAGGTCAGCCAACGAGCAGACGGATTACGATTACATGATGGTAAGCAATCGGCACCGCCCATGGACACCCGCAACGGAGGAGTTACGACTGCGTTGCCGACCTTTTAGGGATTAGAGTTTTGGGGATTTAGGAATTGGGAGGGATCGGGGGAGGGGAGAAATAGGGCCTCCGGTAATCTCACTCACACAGCGAAACACAACGCTGTGGTTGTTTCACGCCGGCCGACCTATACGTGCCGAAGCTTGGCTCTCCCACACTTAAAGTTAATTTTTATATTTCTTCGACGACGATATTATTGAGGCCATTTTGTAGAATACTGAATAATTGAAGATAATGAATAGAGACCTCATTATTTTAGCACAAAGATGAACGCAAGGGACAATGAAATCGGTACATACGACTGAATAGCAGTCTACAAACCAGTAGATTTTTTTTGTGAGGGGAAAATCATCAAATGACTTCTCCCGCCCAGGGCCGGGCGGGAGGGAGTGTCATACTCTTACTAACTAAAACCCCCCTGTTCCTTCTCCTGCTCTGGGCCGAGGTCGCGGTGCCTCATTGCGCTTACCCCGCAACCCCGGCTGAACATCAGCCCTATAGGGCCAATGACTTTTTCCGCCCAGGGTGAAGCGAGAGGGAGTATCAGATTCTTAGTGACTAAAAATTCCCCCGTTCCTTCTCCTGCCACATTGCGCTAAGCCCGCAACCCTGGCTGAACACCACGGCTCCGTCTGTGGTGGTCTATTGGCTCTGTGAGGCGCGCGCGGAACACAAGGCGCCATACGTTACGGTCTTGTTCTGGACCGCAGACCCGCGCTTACGGTGGCCGCATATCATCTCTCGATTCCTGGACCCGCAACCCTGATTGTTTGATTACGTTGCAAACGCATAAGTTAAACGTTAAATTTAGTAATAATGGAACGAATCAGTTTTAATTAAAAGAAAATATAATGTGTCTACCCACGTAGACTAATTTGCGTTGCTTAAATGTCACGTTCTAAGCAGATATTTGGTTAATCCAGTCTGTTTAGACACATACCTATATATGTATATATATATACTTACCTATCTTAAATTTCTGTTAAAGGTTAAAGGTAACTTTAGTACTAAGAGTGGGCAAAGCGACCTTCAAAGTGGGCAAATTAAGGGAAATAATAGTACCTACGTTACTTGAACATAGTCATTATCATCGATTTCAAATAAAACACAGTGTTCTTCTATTTGATTGATGGCTTTACATCAAGGGTTTAGCCGAGGCTGAACCATTGGGGCGGGAAAGTGGCATTGAATAAAGAAAATTAATGGTTGAGTCTAGTAGCTTAGTACGTGATTTTAAAAAAATATCTTTGATACTCTTTTGAATTTCAAACCTCTTTGTTATGAGATAGGACAGTTAACGATTACACTGATTAGGTACCAAATAATGGTAAGTAATCAACACCGCGCATAGACACCCACAACAACAGAGGAATTAGGATTCCATTGTCGTCATTTAGAGGGTTTGAGGATTGAAGGATTTAGGGGGGTGATTGTGATAGAGATAGGGATTGGGTGTTTAGTAACCTTATTTTCATGGTGAAATACAACATAAGCGTCTGTCTTTGCCCGTTTTCAGTGAGACCTTGTATCGTGGCAGTCGAGTGTCTTTTATTGATACAAATGTAAAAAAAATGAAACATGAACAGCCTATTACAAAACAAAGTTTGAGCCGGTTTTTGTATTTCAAATTAAAGGTAGATTCAAAATACAAAACCTGACTCAATGGTTTCAACCTAGAGGAAAGGCGTTGTGTATAGAGTATAATTTTTTTTCATAAATTATTTTCTTTTACCAACGAATCACAGCGCAAAACGTCACAAATTCTACCCCTTCCGAAACAAGTCTCTTACAAATGGCACCGTATTTAACAAATTCAATGTATCTAATGGGTTTACAGTCTAATCATAATTCAAACAAATTAGGCAATTCCAAACCACGAAATTATCCATCCAAAATATTTACGCTCGCTTCCAGCACAAGATGATTAAATTAAAACTTTAATCACAAAACATTTTCATTTGGAAAATGAAACAACGGACAGCGTGTTATTCCCGAATTGAATTATAATATCTGAGACCGGAGTAAAACCAATTACCGAATGAGTATCGTTAATTTAATTAGTGGCTTTATTATGTCCCGTCTCTAATTGTATCGTTGTTTATAATTACATGTGTGACCATGGATAATTCTTACGGTTACTGGTAAACGGTATGTTGGTAATCCTATAGTACGAAACGCTAATGCATTTTGGTAATTATTGTTGAATGCTGTTGTGTAATTTTGTACTGTCATGTTAGGGTTGATCGTTACTTAGTTTTGAAATTCGATTTGTAAGTTTTGTGTGTAGTTAAGACCTTGTATGTACATACTTGT